CTGCTCCAAGCATCACAGGGACAAATGAAACAATATCTGGGCAGTGCCCCTTCTCCAGGCAGGGATTCCTGGGAGAGGGACAATGTTTGCATTGAGCAGCAGCTCCTCGTGTCTGTCTGCTCCTGGAGAGACGATCTGATCCGGCTCTTGAAGTGGTTTGGGCTGGAACAGAACCCGCCTGTGCGGAGAACAGCACAGGGATTTTAGTCACTTCTTGAAATGGGGAAAATTGCCTCATTTTTCAGCATTTGGCCTGCGATCCCACACTTCCTAGCTCTATGTAGGGATTAGTTCATACTTTTTTGGTATTCTTGGCCCGAAATGAACGCTCCCAGCCAGAGGAGAGATAATTCCACTTGTGCTGATCCCCCGGGGCACATGCAGAGCTGCAGAAACAGGAAATAGGAAACGTATTACATACCTTTTCCCCTCAATTTTGTTTTCATAATGCATGGAAAACAGCAGAGCTCTGAATTATTTGAAATTTTAGAGTTATTTAATATTTATTTTTGAGAAACAATCTCCCTTTTCAGGGAGGCCTCGCGGTGTCAGAGCAGCTGTCTGGGCAGCTCCAGCTCCAGCTGGGGTGTGAGGGAGCTGGGGGCCACATGGGGGTCCCTGTCCCCAAGCAGCCCCCACTGTGAGTGTCACATGCCATCCCTGTGCCTGGCAGGAGCAGAGGGCATTCCCCTGGCAGCACTGCACTCACTCATCCTTGGGTTCTCTTTGGAGGGATCCATCCATGCAGAGCAGACGCTGGGGCCTCTGACCTGGCTGTGTTAACAGCCCCAGCTGGGGACAAGGGGAGCCAGGGGACAAGGGGAGCCTGGGATGCCCTCAGGACTGTCTGGGTGCTGTGAGCCCTGCCCTCCCACTTGCCTCATCCTTTTTTCCCCTGTCTGTATTGCAGGAGCCCAGTGGATTCCTGCTTCGTGTTTGCTACAATGGAAATAAAATCAAATGTCATTTGGAGACCATATAAAAAGCAAAGAGCTAAAGAAAAGAATTAATGAAGAACTCATTATGCCAATCTGATGTTTTGGTTTCTAATTTTCTTCTCAAAACCCAGCCTCCCAGATTTGACAATCCATCTAATTATTGCTTGGCCTTTGGAGCGGTTTAACTGGCACGTGCTGGGACTTGGACAGTTTCTTATTAGCGGTGGGGAAAGTTGGGATTGAAAAAGCCTTGTGTTGTGTTGGTGTATTTCTGGGTGTCAGAGGCTTCTAAGTGCCTTACGTTTTTCCAATCCATTCTGCATCTCTCTAATTTTCAGGGCTTTCAACACTTTCTGGCGAGCAAAGCCTGTGGATAACCCGAGTAAATGACTTTTTCCATGAATAGAGATTGGCCAGGGAAAGCTGAGTGATAAACAGAATAATCCTTTTTGTGCTTTTCCCAGCTCCAATCTTCTTTGCACACCAAATAAACACTCTCAAGCTGCTTAGAGCAAAATCTCTAATAGGCTGTGGTGGTGCTGAGCAGGGCTTGGCTCTGTGTCAGACCGAGGGACAGGACAGTGGAATAAAGTCCTAAGATTTTTTTGGGGAATTAGTTTACATACCCCCAAGCATAGTGTATTTTGGCACTTGGGCTGCATTACAATATAATCCACCAGCACTCAAAATAGCCTCAAAAATGGCTTTTTTGCTCATTTCTTTGGCTTTTCCCAGAGCCCTGTGTGAGGACAGAGAGTCAGTGTAGGGGACCTGGGACCTGCCAGGGTCTGGTGTCTGTGAGTGCCATGTCCCCACCTGGGACACTGCTGTCACCTGCTGCAGCCTGGCTCTGGGACACAGGGAGTGCAGGCTGGGGGTCACACCCTCGTGTGCTCATGGCTTTGGAAGCCCCATCTCCCTCTTTGTCAGCTTTGGGAATGAAAATGATTTGTTGTGTGAGGGTGTTTTTTTTTCCCAAGTGGATAAACCCATTGGGTTGGCATGGGGGATGTCCGAGGGGTGCAGAGCTGGGGTGAGCTGCTCATGTGTCTTCACATGTTTTAGGATGTCTTCACATGTTTTAGGATGTTTTAGCTGGTGGTTTGACACTGCTATTGAAGAAACTGAACCAGTTTGAGGCTGGGGCCTCCAGACATTTCCTGGGAGAGCAGAGGGATGAGGCTGCTGCCTGCAGCAGTAACACAGATAAATCCTGTCCATGCTCCTCAAATCCAGGCTTTCCATCCTGCAAATTCTGTCTCTGCAAGTCCAGTAAAACTCTGCATTTCAAAGAGCCCCAGGTCCTTGGCCTGCAGGAATCCTCTCTTTATTGGTGTATTAAGAGCAGCTTTGTAGAAATAACTTGTATAAAACCAGAGCATTTCTCATTCTCCCAGGTGGGAAATGAACAAGCGAGGTAATGTTTGCCCAAAGCCCAGGCCAGCCCCAGAACAGGTGGTGGCTGTTATTGTCAAGTAAGAAAATGATTTTGTAAGTAATTAGTTAAACTGCTCAGCCTACATCTCTCCAAAGAAATACCCCTTAAATTCATGGAGCACGTTGACTGAGATGCATCTGCTCAGTGTGTGGTGATGTGGGGCACAGCCAGGTAAATCTGCTCCAAAATAGCCTCTGTGAACTGTGGCTGGAACTGAACTATCCACATAACTGCTGTGTTTGGCCAAAAAGAAATACATCCTTTGTTTCTGGCAAATAATTCAGATTTTTTTTTGCCAATATTCCTTTGCAAAGAGTCCAGACTGACATGAATAGTAACAATATAGAAAATGAAAAAATCCCATCTTGAGCAGTAGTGCTTAAATGAACCAATGCCTGACAGAGTGTGTTTGTTCCCCAGCTCCTCGGCAGGGAAGCTCAGGCAGGAAACCTGTGGAAATGTTTTTAAAGTGTTTACAGTGGCAGTGAGATGCACTTTTCACCAGCTCTCCGTGCCCAGCCTGCCCACACTGCGGCTGCCAGGCTGGGGGTCCTGTCAGAGGGGCCACCCCTGCAGGTGGCCGGGGGACAGAGGGACAGGGGGGTCTCTGCCACCGCCACCACTGACCTGGAGCGTGGTGGAAGAGCACAGTGGCTGTGCAGGGTGTCCCTGTGTCCCTGCTCCTCTTTGGGGGCAGTGTGTCCTTGGGTTAGATTAATCAGCTTCTCAGAGATTGGGCACGGCTGCTTTAATTCCAAAGGTGGTTGTAGATGAGGGTCACCACTGTCACCTCCTCTGCTCCCAGTCCCACCTGCCCTGCTGGGCATCAAGGACTGGCACCCCAGCTGTGCTGGGAGGTCAGCTCTCCTCTCACAGAGGCAGCCCAGCACATCTCTCCAGCCCATGGCAGAAGGCAAAATGCTTGCCTGCTTCCCACGTCCTCATTTCCCTCTGCTCTGGGCACCTTCAGAAGCAAAACGTTTTGGAAAAGCAGTGCAAATCTTCATTCTGGCAGAAGGGCTTGAGTCCTTAACTGGAGCTCTTCTGGTCTTCTGACTGAGGCCAGATACCTCATGGCTCATCTGGGAAAACCAGGAAATTCATCATCTTGATTAGAGGGAACGAGGCTTTGGCCCTACTTGGGCTGGAGTGGCCCATCCTTCACTGGAGGAATCGTGCCCCATCTCTGGCTCTCTCCTGTCCCTGCGCAGTCCTGCCCTGCCTGCACTGGTTCTTCTGTTCATGGGAAGATCCTTTCCCTGGCCCTGCACCAGGGGCAGCCCCACGATGGGGACAGAGCTGTGCCAAACCAGGCAATGGGAGATGCTGCTGGGGGAGCGGGGGAATCCTTGGCTCTTTCCGTGGTTTCCATGGTTCACCGTGTCCAGGCTCGGTTTTGGCAGCTGCAGCTCTGCCTTCCTGGGGTCAGCAGGTGGGAGACCAGCAGGGCCCTGCTCTTCTTGCACCTGTCCTCTGCCTTTCAGACCTTCCTGGTGTACCCTGAACGCTCTGAAAGCCTGGAGAGGCTTGCCCAGCCCCTGTGTGCTGGCAGGGGAGTTCAGAGGTCTGGCAAGGAGAGCAGACGTGCAGCCCCTTTCCGTATGGTCCCCTCACAGCCAGAGTGGCTGCCCTGCGTCACCGAGCCTGGCTGCTGTCCCTGGAGCAGCGTGGCTTCGCCATGCAGCCCCTCAGTGGCATTTGGAGACAATGGTGCTACGGCCTCGAGGTGAATCATGGAGAGGGCAGGGGCTGACTCAGCCCCTGTGGCTGCCTGGACATCCAGGAGTGCAGAGGAGCCCAACTCTGTGAGTGTGGGGGAGAGCCAGGATCCTGCCCCTGCAGATCAATGCAGCCTTTCTTCTGGGAACAGTTTCCTGCAGCCTTCCAGCACAACCTGTCACTTGTTGGGTTCGGCCCATGCTGGGAGGTTCATGCCCAGCCCCTGCTGAGGTTCTGTGCCAAGCAGGGAGGGAGGGAGGAGGTGAACGTGGTCTGGGCTGACACAGAACCCAGCGAGCGCCGTGCTCAGGGCTGTCCCCAGCTCTCCCCAGTTCTCTCCCAGTTCAGCTCACACTGGGAGGTTCATGCCCAGCCCCTGCCGAGGTTCTGTGCCAGGCAGGGAGGGAGGGAGGAGGTGAACGTGGTCTGGGCTGACACAGAACCCAGCGAGTGCTGTGCTCAGGGCTGTCCCCAGCTCTCCCCAGTTCTCTCCCAGTTCAGCTCACACTGGGAGGTTCATGCCCAGCCCCTGCCGAGGTTCTGTGCCAGGCAGGGAGGGAGGGAGGAGGTGAACGTGGCTCTGGGCTGACACAGAACCCAGCGAGCGCCGTGCTCAGGGCTGTCCCCAGTTCTCCATTTCTGCAAGAAACAGTGTCTGGCTGCATTGTGCCTGGAGCCTGCTAATTAGCTGTAAGTGAGATAATGCGACTGGGATTTCAGCTCAAGCGTGAATGACCTATTCCCTGCTCGCCGTGGCGCTTGGCATGAGCGCTGCTCACGGACAAAGCGTGCTGGGAGGCATCCCCTGCCCCGAGCCTCACAGCCCGGCCCGCTGGCACCGAGCCTGACCTCACAAGTTCTTTTCTGCTCTGTCCCTTGTTCCTGTGGCCCTGGTGCTGTGAGCACAGAGCACGAGATCCCTGTTGGCCCCACAGCCCCAGGCTGGCACAGCTCTGGAGTGACAGGTCAGGACTGGGATTATACTGAATTTCTGTGCAGCTTCAAAAGAGAAAATTGATTCCAGTGGGGAATGAAACTGAAGAGATAGGGAAAGTTGTGTTTTGGGAAGGTTGTGGTGAGGTCACAGCTGGTGCTTCAGGTCTGGGGTTGGTGGAGGGGCTTCTGGTGGCCCTGCTCTGTCCCACCTGACTGCAGGGCTCTGGGCAGCTGAGGCCAGGGGACATCCAGCTTCAGCAGCAGAGGGGTGTTTGAGAACTCTGCAGGGAGCTGGTGGTGCCTTGAGCTCTCTGTGTTTTCCAGATTGCCATGAATCTACCCCAAATTCAAGCTGGGTTTGCCACAGGTACCCAAGGTGTGTCCCTGGGGCTGGATGAGCACACATGGCTGGGAGGATCTGTGTGTGTGACCCTCCAAAAAACAGGACAAAAATTCATTTGCAAAAATACACCTGGCAAAGTCCAGCGCCTAAAATTAGAAGTGCAATTTGATATCTGAGTGCCAGCAGCAGATGAACAACAGGTCACAGACAAATGTAAATTGCCACACGATTAACATTGGATGAACTTTTAAAATCTGGATGCCAACAGATGCACAATAAAATTTTCCTACAAAATAAACATAAAGGGGCTGTTCTTGTGCCAGTCCTCAGTTTCTGCTGCATGTTACAAAGGCAAGCTAATTGTGGGTAAAAATATCAAGCAGCAAATCCTCTTACCAGCAAAGGTGCAGTTTCCAAACCTGCCACTGCTCAGGGAGATCCTTCCCAAAGCCAGATATTCACAGTGTGTTAATCTGCTTGGCCAGAATTTCCTACTGCAGAAATGCTATTGAGTAAGTAAAGGATAAACACAAGAGCATGGGAAGATGAAATAGGAGGATGCCAGTGGGTTCTGTGCTGTCACAGAGCATTTTGGGGAGGTGTTTGCTCCAGCACGTGCCCCACAGACTCACATGGCTGTCAGAGTGCCAGCCTGGAGCACGCTGCCTGGCTTTCAAGAGGAGCCAGCCCTCTTTGATGATGCAGAAATCATTTTACTTATTGAAGCAGTGAATGTTAATGATTATTAATTGGAAAAGGCTCTCCAGGGGCTATGTGTGTGTGGGACTAGTGAGTGCTTTGCAATTCCAGCATGAAATGAGTTACTCCACAGCATTAAAATGAGCAGAGCTCTCCCCAGCATCCCCAGCAAGTAATTGAATTGTTACTGCGTGGCACCAGCCTTTCCTCTTCGCTCTGCACTGACACCAGGAGCTGGGGCCCCTTCACAGTGAGCATTCAACCTGAATCCAACCCAAAATCCAGGTGGAGAGATATGTTTTCAGCTCCTCTCTAAAGCAGTTGCAGATTCATCCTGTGTCCCCCGGAGCCCCAGAGCTGCTTTGCCTCTGAGGGTTTGTGCAGTGGTCACAGTCACACCAGGGCTAGCGGGGACCCTGAGGGGCTGGAAGGACCTGGTTTGGCTGCAGGGAAAGCTCTGAGGAGCCAAAGTGTTCCCAGGGATGAGGACAGAAGCAGCTGCAGCAGCTGCTGATGAGAATAGCTCCATTTGCACAGAGGAACAAAGTTTTTGATGGCCTGTGCTTTGCAGGGTGTGCAGAGCCATCTGCCCAGCCGCAGGCTGAGTCCAGAGCAGTGGATCTGAGCTGCCAGGTACGTGCTGCACGTGGGAATGGCGTGGGATGATGCAGGATGGGATCAGCTGAAGGCGTGGGACTTGGGGAAAACTTGTCTTACAACAGAAATGGCCTCTTCAAGGCATCCCTCTGTGGAAGGGAAGGTGGAAGCGGGATCGATAAACCAGTGGTGACTTTTAAATTGTGGGAAGAGGTCACAGCCAGAGGGACAACCCGACCTGCTCATCATGCGGAGGGGCTTGTGCTCCTGCTGGGAAAGTGGCTGCTGCCACTTCCCTGCCTGCTGATGGAGTGACCTGGGGAACTGCCCAGCCCATGCACTGTAAACACAGCCCTCGTTTTCTGGGAACAGGAGAGAAGTTGAGAATGAAATGCCTGATGAAGGGTGTGGGCTGGGTCCCTGGCGCTGCCGCCCGTCACGCCAGTGATGTATTGCAATAACACATCATGGGCTGGTGGCATTCAGTGACTTATGGCTGCAATCTGTCACCAGGCCAGCACTGCTGGCACCCTACATCAGCAGGACAAGGCAGGGCACAGCAGGCAGGGGCAGCTGCCCTCCAGCCACCTGGCTTGGTCAGGACACTGGGGATGGGACAGGGAAGGCACCAAGGGGATGGGGATATTTTGTGGTGCTGACCCAGAGCAGCCATGCCTGCTGTGTGGGGAAGGTTCTGGGGGCCAGATACCCATCTCTGTGAGCCAGGGCATGCCTTTGCATGGGCTTGCATCCCTGCTTCCACTGTCTTCCAGAGGCTGAAGGAGGCATGGCATGGATTGGAGGGGGCAAATCATTCTGGGGTGGTTGGTGCAGGAGCAGCTGAGTCTCCATCCATCAAGGGACACCCAGCGCCCAGCACAGCCAGTGTCCACCCTGCAAACCTGACTGGCAGCTGAATGCCAGCATGGGAACTGTCCCTGGGAGTGACCCACTGTGGGCTGGGTGGGCTGGCTGCCCACAGGGCTGTGGGACTGGCATGGAGAGGTGGCACAGCTCAGCACAGAGCCCTGAGGTCTCTCTCAGTGGAGGGGCTGGTTGCTCCTGGGGCTCGTGCTGGGGTGCAGCCCGGAGCAGGACAGCCACAGGCAGGGGCTGTGTGGTCAGGCAGGACCCCTGTGGTTCACAGCCTGCTCCCACACGAAGATTCCAGCGAGGAGTGGTGGGTGCAGCAGCTTGAGCCAGACTTTGTCCCTGCCCATGCACATGGCAGCTCCCTGGGCTCTCCAGGCTGAGAGGCTGTGAGAAAAGGGGCCTTTTGAGAGCTACAGCAATTTTCCCGGTGAATAGGAGTTGCTGTTCCTGTAACACGAGTTGTTCACACACATGCAGTAATGTCCTGTTTGGGGCTTATGTAATGGGATGGAGGGGCTCCAGTGAGGGACCGACCCCGTGGAGAGGCACTCGCGCCGTCTCGGGCTGGCAGAATGAGCCGGACTTTTCCAGGCCCTGCTGAGATGTTCATTTATAACTCCCACCGTCTGGAAGAAACCTTGCCAATCAAAACACGCCACGGGTTTTCCAACGGGTTAGGAGCACTCCTCTCAAAGAGGGTTTTTGAGGGGGGCCCAGGATATTTGATAGGAGTTAAGCTGTAAAATTAGTTTCAGAGCAGCGGGTTGTCTCCTTCCCAGCACGCCTGGCTGGCGGCTGCGGAAGCATTAACCCCTCAGAGCTCTGCTCCCACCCTGCACTGCCAGGACACTGTGTCCATCCTGCACCACAGGGACACTGTGACCCCTCTGCTCCCATGGCCGGGACGGCTGTGCCTGGTGGTTGGGCCGTGTGGATGGTCTTGGTGGTGATGTCCTGCCTGTGGCTCCAGCAACTCTCCTCAGGATGTCTGGTGGAATGTCCTACTCCATGCCCCAAGGCTTTGCTCTGCAGCAGAGCCCTGCAGGAACATCTTTACCAGCAATTCAGGTTGTTCCAGACGTGGTGAATGTACAAACTGACACGGCCACGGGGGAATGGGCTGGCCCCAGCCTTCCCCATGTGCCTGCATGGAGACAGAACTGGCCCACCCTGAGGCTGCTCCCTTGCTGTGGAGCAGAGGGTGATGGAAGAGGGAGCACAGCAAATGCCATTTCCATTGCTGGGAAGCATCAGGAACTATTGGTCTTGCTCTTTATCCTCTTTGCACATTCCTCCTCCAGTCTGTCCTGGGTTGCTCTGCCCTGGAGTGAATTTTCCCTTTCAGCTGGCAAAGGCAGGACCTCCAAGGAAGAAGGACCTGGTTTGGAACAATCTGAGCACCTGAAACACCTCAGCCTGGCATGGGCACTTGCAAAATCCCAGAGCCTGGAGTTTAGTTGTGAAACGAATGATCTCTTTGTTTTCTGCTGAATGATAATGAATCACTAGAAACTTGAAACCATTTTAAGGATGAATAAATGACACCTTCTAAGCTCCATGTTTATCTACTATTCTGCTACCAGAGCAATTTCATAGCAGAGCTATCAATGAATTTAATTTACATAATGGTTTATCATATACTTCAATATTTCAAACACACTTCATTAGGCAGCACCACGAGCAGTTCCACACTCTGTGATAGTTCCTGCAAACTTTGCTGTGAAACACAGCCTCTCCACTATAACTAATCCTTTAAAAAAAGGAGGAAAAAACTCCTCAAATTCCCTAGAGCTGGGTTCAAGCAGCTTTTCCTGCTCTGCTTGCACAGAAGGGGCTGCCAGTGGGTGGGGGACTGGTGTGGGGACAGCAGGAGGGGGACAGTGGTGGGTGCACAGCAGGGCGGGGTCTGTGTGCCACAGTCTCCATCTGCATGTGAGGTTCCAGTGACAGGGAGAGTGTCACGAGCCTGGGACCAGGATCGGTTCCCTCCCGAGGGGAAGGGAGCGGTGCTGCTCTCGGAGGGCACAGCCAGTTCTGTGGCCCCAGCGAGGTTTCACCGAAAGAAAGCTAAAAATAGGAATTGCTCCAACTTCCAGGGGGCCTTATGGAGCAGCTCAGCCATCCTTTGGGAGCTGTGTTCCTGCCACAAACACTGGCCGTGGGGAGAACGGTGTGTTTTGTAGGGCAAATAAAGCGGCTGCTGCAGGCAGGCGGGAACGTGCGGTCCATGCAGCGCCGGGTGCCCAGGGGGCCATCCTGCTCCTGCTGCCCCCATCCCGTTCCTGCTGTCCCCATCCTGCTCCTGCTGCCCCCATCCCGTTCCTGCTGTCCCCATCCTGCTCCTGCTGCTCCCATCCCGTTTCTGCTGTCCCCATCCCATTCCTGCTGTCCCCATCCTGCTCCCGCTGCCCCCACCCTATTCCTGCTGCCCCGATCCCACTCCTGCTGTCCCCATCCCGTTCCTGCTGTCCCCATCCCACTCCTATTGCCCCCATCCTGTTCCTGCTGTCCCCATCCTACTCCTGCTTTCCCCATCCTATTCCTGCTGCCTCCATCCCGTTCCTGCTGCTGCCATCCCTCTTCTGCTGCCCCCATCCCGCCCCTGCTGCCTCTCACCCTATTCCTGCTGCCCCCATCCCGCTCCTGCTGCCCCCATCCCACTCCTGCTGCCCCCATCCCGCTCCTAAGACTCCCATCCTATTCCTGCTGTCCTCATCCCGTTCCTGCTACCCCTGTCCCGCTCCTGTTGTCCCCATCCTATTCTTGCTCTCCCCATCCCGTTCCTGATGTCCCCATCCCGTTCCTGCTGCTCCCATCCTATTCCTGATGCCCCCATTCCACTCCTGCTCTCCCCATCCCTCTCCCGCTGTCCCCATCCCGTTTCCGCTGTCCCCATCCCTCTCCCACTGTCCCCATCCCTCTCCTGCTGTCCCCATCCCTCTCCCGCCGTCCCCATCCCATTCCCGCTGTCCCCATCCCATTCCCGCAGTCCCCATCCCATTCCCGCAGTCCCCATCCCTCTCCCGCTGTCCCCATCCCGCTCCTGCCGCCCCCATCCCGCCGTGCCGCAGCCGGGTGAGCCGCAGGCTCCGGCAGTGCCTGGCACGGCGCTGCCAGGCTGAGCGCTGCCTTTCCCCAGTGAGCGTGTGCAGCACGTGTGTCACATTTCCGATAGCATCCTCTTACATAATTTACAGCAAGGATAACATAAAGGTTATTTTAAAAAATAAAACAACCTCCTTTACATTTATTAAATTTGCTGGAGCATCCCATATGCACCTTTGCAAACTCCAGGATTACCCACAGGGGTCTGATCTGCATGTCACATTAGGCAGATGGAATATTTTATTTATTCCACCTAGGTTGTAATGGAGAATTTAAACCATTTGCTGCAACACGTTTGTGTTCCAGGAAACGGTGTTGGATGCTGCTGAGTGCCCTGACACACTTGTGGACCTTAAACATATGAGATTGTGGGGACTGTGCAGCTCAGAGCAGCTACTCCTTGGTAAACATTTTTGCAGCAACATAAAGCAATTCTAGTGCTGCCAAATATATTTATTTTTAACTCCAGCTCCTATTCTTTGTTAAGAATAGGGTTTTACTTAGAAGAATCTTTGGGGTTTGGTTTATTAAGTTTTGCATTAAACTGAATTTCACACTTTTGACCATTAAAGCCATTGCAAGGGATGGACATGAGGAAACTTTAACCATTGAGCAGTGTCTTCTTGCCTTTTAGTAGCCTGTCTGTGGAGTGTATTAAAGATTCAGCTGTGCTCTGATAAGAATCATGAAGGATGTATATGTTTGCATTGTTTTTGGCAAGAAACATCCAAATGATCTGTATTTATTATATAAAATTGATTTTTTTGGCATGCATGCTATTTTTCATGGATTTTGGCCTCGTACCAACACAAACAGGGTGATCTTGAGCAAAGCCATGCATTTCTAAGGCTCTGTTTGGAGAATTTTTAAAAGAATCCGGGGTCATGGATTTGTCTGTGAATTTACTCTCCCTGCAATAGCAGCAGTGGTGGAAAACCACATTTCCAGCATGGCTGCAAGGTATCAGTTGCTGTTCAGATTTCATCAAGGTTTGCAGCTGATCTTTGCAAGGGGAGCTCTGGGAGCTCGGGCTGGGGAGGACTGGAAGGGGCAGGTGCTGTGTGGGGACAGGAGCCACTCACCACTGCCAGCACAGAACCACAGAATGGTTTGTGTGAAGGGACCTTAAAGCCCATCCAGCTCCAACCCCTTGCCATGGACTGCAACACCTTCCACTATCCCAGGATGCTCCAAACCCTGTCCAACCTGGCCTTGAACACCTCCAGGGATGGGGCAGCCATTGCCTCATGTCCCAGCTTCTGCTGCCAAGAGGTTCCTCTTGTGTAGAGAAGGATGAACTGCTCTGCCAGAGCTGTCTCCTCCAGGGACCTGCCCAAGCTGGGGGTTTCTACCACCAAGAGCATTGTGGTGGCCCAGGGAGCTGTCAGAGGATGCCATGAGAAGGACCCTGGCTGGAAAGGGTCCTTTAAACTCCTCTCTGAATTGCAGAGATATCGACACCACAGTCTGCAGGGCTGTGGAGCCATTCTGGGGAGGACAGAGTGATGTCCTCTGTGCCACCAATGCTGTCGAGTTCAGTGTCAGCCATCCATGCAGAGGTTGGGGATTTGCTGGCACAAACAGCACTGGAGATCAGACCTGGCTGGACCTGCCAGAGCTGCCCTGCCCTGGGTGTCAGGAGAACCTGGTGGGAGCTTGGGGTCTGAGCAGGTTAAATCTGTGCTTTGAAGAAGGGCAAATGCCCGTCCATGGCAGGGTTTGGTTCGAGCGTGGGGCAGAGCATGTCACCTGCAGTGTCCAGCCTGGGGGCCCTGGTTTGTCACTGGAGAGCTGTCCCAGCCACCCTCCCCTCCCCTGAGCCGTTCATCCCCGGAGCAGGAGCAGCTCCCAGCCCGCGGCAGTTTCCGCTCGCGGCTCCCAGAGACACCAGGCTGGAGCCCGCAGCCACTTCCCCTGCAGATGATGGCTATTTCGGTTCCACAGGTGGTGTTAATATATTCCTCTTCAGACTGCACTTCCTTGCACAGCCGAGTACAATGTAAATAACTCAGTTGTCGTTTAAAAGGGAAGGAGGACTTGAACAGGCAGAAAAACCCCAGGCTGAGATTTCAGCCACGGCGTCGATCACAGACATCTCATACTCCTCCGTTAATGTCACTTTATTCTGCCAGCTCCAGAAAGCTGCTGAGGACATGAGGATTGTCAGTGGGGAAAGACCCTGCAGGTACTTGAGGCTGCTGTCCCACACGGCTCTGCCAGAGCTGTTGGGCCCCCAAAACCAGCGTGCCTCAGCCCAGCGGGGTGGGGGTGATGGGGCAGACAGGTCAGGGCATGGACAGCACTGTCAGGGTGCTGCCCTGGGACCTGCTGGCATTTTGGGGCTTATTGACAGCTTCTCCACACTTTGTGCTGGGTGCTAAATGAACAGCAGTACCTCATAATGCCCTGTCACAGCCCTGCCCCTTCTCACTCAAACCCCAGCAGCAGGGTCTGATTGATTTTGACAGAAACCAGTTAGGGGGAAATCCCAGATCAGGAGGGGATTGGGCAGTAGGGACCAGCTCACTCCTCCAGGAAAAGCATTGAGGGGTGGCTGGTCCAGGGGCTTGGCAGCATCACCCCCAGCTCTGCTCCCTCCAACCAGAGCTCCTCAGCTCCAGACATGTCAATATTAACCTTTTTGAATTTGCTTCTCTCTGTGTTTTTCTCTTGTTTTTTTTAAGAAAAGCCAGAGTGAGGTAGTTCACACATCACTCAGACTTGGAGGATGTGCTTGTCCATGGAGGTGATCAGAAAAGGGAATGTGGAACTCTGGAAGCTGACTCCTACCACACACCCACTAGAATTGTGATAAAAATCCTGTGACCCTTTGTGTGAAGATGTTACGTAAAGGGAAGGGTTGGTTAAAAACTCGACACACTTTTGCTCTGAGCCTTGCTTTGAACCACCCACCCTTTGGGGTTTTCTCAGTAAGGGTAAGGGACACATTTTGGATGGAAATGGTGACCTGACTGCAGGGAGAATCCAGGGGCTCTTTGGAAAGGTGGTGTACAGAAAGGTACTGGCTGGGGTGGAGGCCATGCAGCCTCAGCTTATTTCTAGGCTCTTTCCTCAGAGAAAGGCCTTCTCTTGCAATTTGTGATGATAAAAATACAGCTTGTATGTCTTGAAAAACTCTGTTGAACCTGGAAAACAGCCCTCCCAGAGACTCTGAGCTCTTGCCTTTCAGAACATTGTTTGTGGAGATAAAAATATTTCTGCCACACTTGTCACATGTATTTGAAAAACATATTAATCATTTAAACAAATATTAGCTCCGAAAGCCTATAAATACATTCACTGGGAGGAATATACCCTTTGTTGTAATATTACAATGAAAAATATGCTAATATAGTTGCCTAATTGCTCATGTTTGAATAACCTCTTTTGTGACAATAAATGTTTGTGGCAGCATCATTCAAACACGAAA